TTTTAACTTTTCATAACACATTTTTAAACTAGACTTCTTAGTGTGTTAGGTGAGATAAGGAAGCTTTAGGAGAGAAGGACACCATCAGCAATAACCCCTGTCCTCCACAGCCTGGTGGCTCAGGCTGGATGCTCCCAGGAGCTAAAGGTGCACATCCTCCTCCACAGCCTGGAGTGCAGACCTGGCACAAACCCTTGCTCTCCGTTCTCTGTCCAGAAGGATGGTAAGTGGATGTGTCCACTCTGTGCTGCATTTTGGCTCTTTCCCCACAGAAGGGAACAGGAACTAAGAAAGCCAGGCAGGGGGAAATGCATGTAGGTCACAGTCCCTGCAATGGAGCACAAAGTAGAGCACATCATGGGAGACACATTTATAACTGTGCCCAGTAATTGGGATCACTGTGTGTCAAGCACATCACTATAGTGATTGTCAGTAGGTCTGACATTTCAGTGTGATGATTTTTCTGCTTCTTTGCTAGCACCCAAATACTCTGTCTTTTTTTCTGCCACAAAGCAAGTTAAGGTATTGCTTCACCATCAAACACTTTATCGATAAAATAAAAGTCTTGCTACTTGCTAGGTGAGATCAGGTTCAGAAGAAAAAAAAAAAAGGCTGTTTTGTACTCCTTATTTTCCTTTTTTTCTGCTTCTTGTAAGTTTTTGACTTCCTGATCCATTCTCTGTCATCAGATATAACCTCCCCAGTAATTGTCTGACTTCCTCCTTGCACGATCAGGTAGACCTTTTCATACAGCTTAGGGGTGGCAAGGGATGCTTGGTAATTGTATCTGTGCTATGGCTTCCAAGCTGCTTTTGGCAGTGAAGTCCGATAGGTTAGGGTAGATCATCATCAGTGTTCAGCTGCACTCAGAACCAGGTGGGAGCACTGAGGCAATCAGAAACAGCAGCCACATGGATTAAGCAGTGTTTTTTCTGCACTGCCTGCCTGCATGCAGGCTTTGATTCAGCTCAAAGAACTTAGCTAAAGCTCTGCTGGATTAAATCAACCTCTTGACTCTGAGCTGAGGTGGCAGATGAGTATACACACGGGTTTTTTTTAAGTACAACAAGGAGGCCTCTGAGTAATACAGTGGCTGCACTTAGTCAAATCAAGGGAAACTGTAGCCCCATACTCTGCCTCTGTTTACTGCCCGTTGGTAGATATTAAAGCATAAAATACAAGAACAGGGAAGGCGTGCCGAGTTACATTCTGCACTCCACCAATCTGATTGTATGGAATTCTTGATTCAGAATTTGTACCTTTACATTTAATAGGCTTTCATGGTCTTCTTTTCTTCTAAGATTTTGTATAATTGTTTTTTGACTGTGTTTATGATATTGGCATTGCCTGACAGTGAATGCCACTATTCTTTTATGCTGTGTGAAAAAAACCTAACACTTCTTTTGCTTGTTTTAAACCTTCTAATTTCATTGGGCATCCTCTTGTTCTCATGTAGTGAGAAGCCAAGTGTCCATTCACTGATTTTCTAGGCACTTTCCCAGGGTTCTCCTGTTTTTATACATATCTGCCATATCCCCCTTCAGTTGTCCCATTTCCAAGCTGAAAACTCCAAATCAATTTAAGCAGTTCCAAGCTTTAATTGCCCTTCGTTAGTTCCCCCATGTAATTTTTGAGAGGCAAGTACCAGAACAGCAGGCAGTAAACAAGAGAGGGTACTATGTGGTTTCGTCTGGTGCTACAAGGATGTTGTCTGGTTTGTGCTCCATTCATTTTTTAAAAAATTCTAACTACTGGTGTTTTTGACTGCTAACGAGCATGAAATTAATGTTTGGTTTTAGTAGGCTTTATTTTTTTACTTTTTTTTAATAATTTCTTTTTAAAAATAACCACAACTGAAATTATTTATTTGGTGTGCCTTTTGTACTTACAGGAATGTGAATTTCAGTACCTTATGATTAGTGTTTCAACAGTAACCTCTTGAACCAGCCCTGGTCTTGCTTAGGCAAGGTGAAAAAGAGCTGTTTTTATCAGAGATTTTCCAAACATCATGGTAACAAAAGTTGTGGTGTTTAAACGTTTAGTCCCTACATTATGCCTAGATATGACATTTGTTAAGGTTTTATGACAGAGTCTCCAATTAGCTCTAATGTTCTAAGTCTAAAGTAAGGAATTTCAAGACACTGAGAATCTCTTCATGATAAAACGTATAGTTTATATTGTTTCTAATTTTTTTGTAATGGAGCATTGCTCCTTCATTGAAGTGGCTGGGTCTCTCATCCTCTATATTCTTCTGTTGGAACTGTATGGATTCTTTTAATAATTTTTTATGATGCACTGATTGTATGAGCATCTGTGGACTAGTTTCTTGGTTTTATTTGCACTTTTAATGCATATTTTTGAATTAAGGATAGGTAGATCTATAGGTAGGTAGCAAATAATAATGCAAAACTGACTTTTAAATCAGTTACTGGGTGGTTACTGGATCATAAACCATATAACGTTATGTTAGAGGATAGAAGTTGTAAATTATATTGCATTTTCAGTTTGAAACCGAATGAGTTAATTCCTCTTTGGCTCCTAATCTTACAAAGGTATTTTTTTCTTATATTTTTATGTATCTGACATTCACAGATTTTTTTTTTAGTGAATTTTATCTCACTCTCCCACTAATACATACAGTCAGTCAAAGTGAAAAATGTTTAATATTTAAAAATAGAATGAGAGTGTCCTTCATTTAAAGCATCTCATCTACTATTCAGAATATTAGCATTACTGCTAATTACTACTGCCCTCGATTTTGTATGACCATGACAAAACTAAGAACAAAGGGAAAAAGCCAAGGTACTGCACTTTTAGTTTCAGTTTGTATCACACTGGTACCATATCCCTGGGATACACGTGCTTATATTTATGAAATCAGTGGAAATCAGTGCATACGTCACAAGTTTTGTGAAGTTTAAGGCATCTGTGACGGTGACTGAGACTGGTAAAATGGCTTAGACCACAGAGTTTTTTTTAAATTGAGGAGTCCTTTTTTCAAAATATGCAATAGTTCAGACATGCACTGTCACCAATAAAGGTAAAGTGTTTCTAAAGCAACAGAAAAGTAGACTTCCAACTTAGCACTGCCTCCAAGGCTGTTGGTTTTCAGGTACTCTGAAAACACCTTGCCCTGTCAGAGCTTAGAAGTTTGACTGTAGCCAGATCTGATTTTAACATATTTTGGAGGTACAGTTTTGTGAGTGGATCAATGTAGATTTCCTTTCCTCCCCTCAGACTCCAAATCCTGCTCCCCTGCTTTAAGCTCGGCAGTCAGAGAGAGCTCCTGCAGACTCGACGAGGTCTCATCCCAGGCAGCCCCACAGAGGCACATCTCATTGCCCTTCTGGGCTCTGGGTTAAACCTTCTGCCATTTCATAAAATCCAAAGAAAATCTTCAGCAACTCAAAGTTTCATTCAGCCGGCCCTAAGCCCAGAGTGAATGTGAGGGCCACGTGACACAATAAATTTTTCTAGTCTGTTACAATTACAAAAATATCTGTTATGAACATTGTTTTGCTAAACCACTGTGAAAAATTCACACAGTATTCAGTAGCTGCAAGGCTGTTTAATTACTTAGCTGTTTTGAGATGGTCATGTGGCTGAACCTTCTAAGTTATTGGAAACACAGAGGAATACAAGTACCAGTAATAATTTTTACTCTGCCTGCAAAATGTATTTTATGATGGTTTACTGTAAAGGTATAACCTAGGCATTTATTCTTGTCATGCCCATATGTGACTAAAAAATTTTTGTCAGTTACTACTGCAATTTGATCATTCTGAAAACCTAAACTGTGCGGTAGGAAATTAAAAATGGTCGTACAGTCTACAAATGTTTTCAGAAATTTAATATCCCTACACAGGTGCTTTTTTTCCTTGGAAAAGTTTCTCAAACATTGACAATATTTTTAGTTTCCCATAATACTACTGTAAATCTACTTGAAAAGCATTGTGTTCACTGCCCTTCAAAGCAACTTAAAGATGAAAAAAGATAACTTCATAAATAGCAAGTTTTCATCTTTATGTCTTATATTACTATTTATGTTTTTTTCTAGAAAGCACATGCTTTTTAAAGTATTTTTATTTAATTATGTTACTATTTTATTTTTAATCATATTTTTGTTGACAAATTTGCTGTATCAGTAAAAAACCAATTTTGAGATCAGATGTGCTAGAAATGCAAACATACAGATATTGATACATAACATGAAACCATGGTCCATCTAATATAATAATCCTTCTGACAGAAAGTAGATGACTCAGAGGAAGTTGCCAGAAATTTCATGAGAGACAAATAGAGGGTAATCTGTCAGCCACCTTAAGTCTTCTCAGAATTCCTTAGTACTTTGAGATAATGTTAAGCCCTAAAGCATAAGGTTTCAACTTTCTTTGAAAATATATTAGCATTAACTATTACAAATTTTGAGCTCATGAATAGCAAAAATTTGACAAATATGAAAACCGAGATAGTTCAAACATTACTGAAAACTGAAAATCTCTGAATCATTGAATGATCATTTACTTTCTAGGCAGGTGAAATAATTTGAGGGAGTGAACATGACACAACATAGTGAATAGTCAATATTTTTATAATCATTTTGATCCTTCAGAAACTCTTGTTTTGTGGCATAAATGTTGTAAAATTAATTTGTCCTAACTAATGATTTGAAATAAGAGAACAGCTCTGGTATGCTACCTTGTATGCTTTGTCAGGTATTTGGATGAGAGGAATGTAAATTTAGCCTGTTAAAGGAAGTGTTATTATGATAGATGCCTGTGAGTGTGATTTGATCACTAAAGTTGTACCACCAAGAAAATTAATTACCACTTCATGAAAGGTAAATATTCAATTTCACAGAAAATATTCTGTACTAATCTTTATGTTAGCTGATGAGCCAGATCTTACCTCACACAATCCATTAATCTAAGACAAAAGAAGCATCAGCAGCATATGTATTTCTGCAATCCTATGTGTTATTCCTTTTCTTTTCTTTCCAGACAACTATTACGGCACTCCGAAGCCTCCAGCAGAACCAGCTCCGCTGCTGTTAAATGTGACAGACCAGATCCTCCCAGGTGCCACTCCCGGGGCTGAAGGCAAACGTAAAAGGAATAAGTCTGTGAGCAATATGGAGAAGACAGGCATTGAACCACCAGAGGAGGAAGAGGAAGAAAGACCTGTGGTCAATGGAAATGACGTGACAGTAACACCAGGTCTGTTCTTCCTTCTTACTTTGCAGTGCCTTTCTGTTATTCACAGAGTCCTCAGTTACCTCCTTCTGCAGTGAGAATATGCATGTTCAGGTAAGGATGTTCTTGCAAGAGTGAAAGCCAGGAATTCTGAATAATAGGATCTCTCCCAAGTCTAAACCAAATTTCTTAACCTCTCTTTTGGGGAGTCATCTCACTTACCTCAGCTATTGTAAAGATTTCTGTCTCTTAACTAGTCTCTTTGAACCCTCTTTATAGACCAAAGAGAAAAACACCTACTCTTTGAAGGTGGTTTGTGTGGTTAGATTTTGTGTTTTAGACTTCTAGGTTAGGAAATCAATCACAAGTGCCTGTTTCTCTCTGTTGACTATAGAGGGAGTCTGGAGAACTGTAATTTGGTCAAATGAATGAAGCCTCTGTTTCAGGTCTACTTGTTCTCAAATGGTGATTACTCATAAGATTGTTCACCACATTATGAAGTGAACTTTTGTAAATTGTTATGAAATCTTAGCAATACTGTGGAATAGTAAAGTCATCTCATTAACAAATTTGTGGCAGTTCCAGTGAAATTTAGCTGGCAATACTACCAGGAGGACCCTTTTCAGCAATGTTTCAGAGCCTGCATAAAGCTGATAAGGGTTTCAGATGTGTAGTCCTGAAAGGCAGCTGTTCCTTTACCCCTTGGATCGTAGTGATTCAGAAAAAAAAAGGGCATTCAGTGTACTGAGTGGTATCCCAAGTCAGAACACTCCAGCCTTCTCTGAAGCAGGTAATCAACTTCCCCCTCAACGTTTCAGCAAGGCAGTGTTTTACAGTACTTAATAAGTTTTATTCTGAAATAGCATTTAAGAAAATATTTGGTTGTTGTTCAAGTAGAAGATATAAGAATTCAGACTTTTATATCTCCCTGAGAAATAACTCTGTGGATCCTTGTAGGTGAACTTAGAAATTTAGAAACAGATTATTGAAGTAGAAGTCTGTAGTGACAATCATATAGATGAGAAGATAAAATGAAATACTGCGAGTTCTCTAAATGTATAGGTTACTGTGAAACAAAATATCCATTACCTAATCTTCTAAGCACTGTAAAAGGATTTTCTTACTGCAGAGTCTCTATATATACCTTTTTTCCTCCTTCTGCCTTACGAAGTATATCAAGTTTAATATCTTCTCATCGAGGATGTATGTGGCACATTCGTTTCTGTAGCTGTTGCCTAACATTACACATAAGGGAAAATCCCTGCACAGAACTCATCCCCATCTAGCAGGAGGGTGTCAGGGAGCAGTGGGGTGAGTGGGTCTGGTTCTTCCCCTCAGCTCTCCAAAGGGCTGCGATATTGCTCCCTGTCCACTGCCATCACATGCTGTAAGAGCCTTGCTCATCCCTTCCACATGACATTGCACCTGTTGGCATTGCTCTGGCGCTTAATGCTTTTCCTACATATCTAAGCAGGAAAGGATGAAGCCCAGAGATCCTTACATAAAACATCAGCACTGCCTCTGTTGCCAGGATACTTCCACAGTGAAAGAGGCAAAGGCAGGATTTGGTCTCTGATGTGTATTGTAGAAATCATTAGAAAGATCATTCTTTGTAGTTATTGAAAACGTGCCACATAACAGACCATTGCTGAGGAGCAATTTCCAGAACAATGTGTTTCAGCTCCAACTGGATCAAGGCACTGTTTACCTGCTTTTTTCCTTGCATTCTGCACCTATAATTTGCTTCTCCCAGGCAAAATCTCTGTGAGCGATGACTAGGCAGCACCCAAGAAGCAGGCACTTCTGTGCTGTTACCAAATTAAGTGCATGAACATGGGTGTAAGACAGCCCCTCCTCCTCCCCTTCCTTACCCCCCCCCAAAGCAATTCCTGTCGGTGTGGCCAGCAGAACAAGCAGTGCCTGTGTGTTGGCTCTCATGGTTTCATAAGCAGGGTTTTGTTGTTCAGATACACTGATTGAGGACTTTGGGGATTGTAGCAAAGCAGCTCTGTACATACGTGCTGTGTTGCCTTTGTTGGGCAGTGTGGCTCCCACAGACCCTGTTACTGCAGTCATTTTCTCTGTGAGCTGACAGAGGCTTACCTACCTCTAAAATGTGAGTGCATTTGTAGTTTGTCTTTGAACAATCAGGAAAACCAGAATATTTTAATTAATTTATTTATTTTTAAACTCTTGGTGGAGGGAGCAATCTAGGTTTTGTACAGAAACAGCAAAGGCAGGGTATTTGTTATTTCCAATTCTTTTAGAAAGTGTGTTCCATTTTAAATACTTCACTTCTAACAGGAGGCTTTTATTAACTATAGGACTCTTGGGACATCTGAAACACTGACATATTTTTAAAGATGCTCAACAACTTAATGTCTTATTAATTGCATATCTGAGTCTGTCAACTCAAAGGACCACTGTAACACCTAGGACTACTAAGTTGAAATAGTAACAGATTTAAGATGATTCTGAAGAAACCCATCTTTATCAGACCAATTAAGTGACATCTTTCTGCTTTTGGTCTGAATTTTCAGACAACTTTTCAGCATCTATAACATAATCTGTGTGTCTGTTGAGCTTTATCAATTTTTCATTGTTACCTTCCACATGCCTTGCTTCCTGTCCATCAAATTTCCCTCAGACAGTTGTATATGGACAAACTGGCCATAATTGTCTTGGTAATTTGTCCTGCCAAATGTTTTAATCTTTCTAATTTTTGTCACCTGTCCTCAACCCAGAACCCACCTGGAATCTTTCTCAGTGCTTCAGGATGGGGTTTTTGGCCATTTAGGATGGAGCACTCTTAGTCCTTCATCACGGATCATGTTCTCTCAGGACAAAATAGTGTCGTTTGGGAGATGGGATTTATCTCACCCAGCTTTAGTATGCCTAAATGCCTTTTTGTTTCAGTTATTTGTCTCTGCTCTCCTGATCATAAAGCAAGGAGGAAGAGGCAATTCCAAAGAGTAAGAGAGCATAGCTGTTTTAGATACCCATTTTAGGGGATCACCTCTACAATTTAGAACGATTAATTCAGCCTACAGATACAGAGGAGCCTAGATGGTTAAATGTAAATCAAGAATCTCACTATTTGTCAGGAGGGAAATGTGAGAGACAGTCTCTAGATCTGCTGTTAAGATGGCCAAGTCTAGAGTTAGCACTGGATTTCTTATACTTAGTGTAATTGCCCACATTACTGAGTGAGACATCTTGCACCTGAGAAACCTTTCCTGATGGACAGTGTTCAAATGAATGATTTCTGCAAAACTAATGCTTTGACAAAAGGGGTAAAAAGAGTCTTGGTCAAATTGCAACCTGCAAATCGTTAGACATTCAGTTTTTACTGCTGTTGCTGTGTCTGCAGAGAATTAAGTCAGTCTCCTTCACAACCAGCATCATGCTTTGACACTGTGTTGGTCATGTCACATTTGCTTCCTGCTTCTGACTGATGAGATATTTATCATGTAAACTCCAGAAGAATCACTCTAACCTAGGAGGCATGCTTATGTATGTGCGTCATTCTGACACTACTTGAGCAATGATAAGTTGCACCCAGAGAATAAAGTTCTGTCAGGCTCAAATTATTTGTGGCGTAAGATATGACATAAAGTTTCAAAATTATCTTTCCAGACCTTAGGAGGATAAGGAAACAGAAGACTAGAGCCCCAGTGCCATCAATCACCTGCAAGGTGTACTAGTCCCAAGCAACAGGTTGGGTTTATTCTTTTATTCTTACACAGCAAAGACAGCCAGAGGCATGAAAACAACATACACGGATTCCAAGAGCCCTGAGATTTTAAAGCGTACAAAAGCTGGTATCCATTGATTTATTTTTCTGTTCTAGATGTGTTCTTTAAACTCAGTTTATCACAGGTAGGTCACAACCTGTGACCCACAGAATACCCTGTGCTTACTCAGTCTCCATGACTCCTGTCTTCCTTCCCCATGTCAGCTCCTGGTTCTCTCTGTGTCAGAAGTCAGTGGGAGCAGTGCCTCCTTGCAAAGCACCACCCACTCAGGAGTATGGCTGCAGCTCTGTGGGAATGGGAGCAGCTCCAAGGCTGCAGAGTGGTGTCCTCACAAGAAAATACATACACATATACTGGCAAACATATATTGGCAAACATGAGTTAAACTATTCTTGTATCCAACATTTATTTAAAATGGATGGACTCTTTCCTGTCCAGAATTTAACACATTAGTCATTTGATATAATAAGACTATGAAGAGCTGAAATATTTGTATTCAAAACTGCCAAAAGCACCACATAGGTTACTATTTAATAGTGTTTCCTTTATTTTTTTTCTCTGCTGATATTACTTAGGTCATCTGAGTTGGTCCTTCTGAAAGAAGAAGGAATTAAAATTAAAGCATTAAAATAAAGGAATAAAGAGACAATGTCCTCTTACATGTTTATATGGCAATTTCAAGTATTAGACTGTAACAAAAAAGAAACAATTTAAAGTGCACACGACAGCACTGATAATGGCTCAAATGCTGAGACTATCACAACATAACTACCAGTTAATTTTTTTTAAATGGTCACCATATTGTCTATGAACTGCATAGAGAATATGTCATATCAACCAGTAATATTATAACTACTGGTAGTTGGAGCTGGGTACTACAAAGATGAAATTGTGGTATTTAATGATAAATACTTTTTTTTTAACATACACATTATCTTGTTCTCAAAGGGCTCTGTATTCCATACATACAATAGCTTGCTTGTGCTTTATTGATGTCTATTCTGTCACTTCCCAGGACACTCATTCTTGAGAAACTGTGTTAATCTGATTTTGAAAACTGGACCATGTAATCTGTTTTGTAGTGAGACAGAAGCTCCAGTAGGCTATTCCACTTGACATAAAATCCATTGATTGTTTTTTTATAGTGACAAAAATACTTCTGGACTCATATTATGGTACAATTTTAGGATCTTTTTTATACTGTATATTGTCCGAAGGTAAATATTTGTGCTTACAGTGCATTACTGTACTATTTCATAGCTTTTTTTGTACATTAAAGACAATGCTAGTTTTTAATCAGAACTTGGTTGCTTTTTTAAATCAAGTCAGGCATTATATATTAGTATATATACTTATATATATGTATATATATATGTCTGTAGTATATATACTACATTATATACTAGTATATTAGCAGAAAGAAAAACATTAAGATGGATATCTACCTTTCCTGGAGTGTGATAGATACATATAACAGAAGATAAGATGACACCACAGGGCTGTATTCCAGATAAGTGTGATTAGTATGTCCACTGTGTAAAGCTTACAGTTATTAAATGGCATTAGGCAATTCCACCTTAATAGCTTGGGGTTTAGTCATCATGATGCCTTCTCCATTATCAAAGTAAGTTATTAAAAGATAATGATCCCAGTAATTAATTATTCATGAGATCGGCTTTAAAATAATTATATTTTAAGTTGTTAAATAAGCAAATGTTTCCTTTTTTTCCCTGCTGTATTTTGATAGCAATCTCTGGTCTTAGAAAAGCTCAGAATATTTTTTTCTAATCCTCAAGGCTTAATTTTTCTTTTTTTTTCTCTGTCATCATGAGGGCTGGGATTTGTTTATATAGTTATTGAAAGAAACCAAGAATCTGACCTCTTCAGACCTGTTGAAAATAAGCTCTTGAGGAAGAACACATATTAAAGATATCATGGTAAAATCCCGAGATACTGCAGTGTCACCACATCTGTGGTTCTGTCAGACCAATTGGCTGATCAGTAGTCATTGTGTGTGATGCACCTGTGCTCCAAATGTATTTGTTCCACTGTGGTCTTATCTACCACAGGGTCTTATGTCTTGTATTCACTTTATTCCATACATCTCGCTTCCTGTAGCAGACAAGTGGTCAAGACTGCAGGCAGCCACAGGAATATAACTCACAGATCTGTTCATGGTGCTTCAAACAGATGAGGACTTACTTTTGCTTTGCAGAGATAAGAACAAAACACCCAAAAATTTATCAGCAATTAAACTGTTGTATTCTCAGGGGAAGTGGAGATCATATATTGTGTCTGCTTTGCAGAAAACTTTTATATATTTGAAAATGCTTTCACTATCCATCAATCTTTTCTTCTCAAGACTAAAACCACCTGGGTTTCAATCTTGCCATGCTTCCAATATTTTTTTGGCTTGGCTAGTTGAGTGGGTTTTGTTTTCTTTCTTTTCTTCTCTGTCATCTGAACTGTTTCCCACCTTTCTTGTCATGAAATTCTTGAAACTGCACACAGGACTCTTGATTAAACTTTCCTGTAGCTAAAGGTGGAAGGACCTGTATTGCATATGTTTGCTGTTCCTGGCTATTATGATACTTGTTTTTCCTTTGCAATAGTATCAGTATTGATTGAAGATCAATCCCTCACACATCCCCATACCTCACTTATATTTTCACTAGGAATTCTGCCTGGGCATATACTCCCTATCCTGTATTTTTGCAGTGATTGTGGAATTGTGCACCAGGTAGGTGCCCTGTATTTTGGAAAGACAAGGTGAGTCAGGGAGTGGTAGATAAGGAGAAGGGGACTCCGGCTCTCTGGAATCCTGCTGCTCTGTTGTGGGACGGAATTAAGAAAAAATTGCATTTGTGTCTCTTGCAAATTTATTTCTTCCTACAGATAGATCATGTTCCCAAACAGCATAAAATTATTGTAATACCACATAGTTCGAGTTACGATTTAGCAGCACGAGCTGCATGTGGATGTAGAGCTATAGATCATCACCCTTTTCAAGATTGGATCTCTTTTTTTTTTTTCATGTTATAGTTAAAGGTTATAAGTGTCAGTGTCAAAAGTCTTTTTTTAAGATCAGGAAAGCTCTATCTACTATTTCTCTCCAAGAAACAGCACCTGCTACTCTGTCATGAAAAGGAAAATGATTAGTTTAACACAATTTCTTTCTGAAAAATCTTGGCAAATATTTATGACCTCTGAAGAGTTTGCATGTAGGTGATTTGATTGCTGGTTGCAACCCTTCTGAGAATTTAAAGAGAAAGATGTGAAGTTACAGTTTCAGGGGTCTTCCTCCTCCCTTTTTACAAAAGGCCTAATTGAGTAAATTATTTCAAAGGATCTTAGGTATTCAGAAAGTAAGCATATAAAACTACCTAAAAACCTAAATCATAGATACTTTGCTGAAATCAGGACAGGGTCTGTCCTTTCTGTTTCTTTTCCCCATGAAGCCTCAAAGGTTTATTTTAGCCATGAGTCTACCACCGTGGTTCTCTCTGTACCCTGAGTTTCATTTCATCCAGTTCTGCCAATTGAGAACGACTGTTTCATCGAAGTTTTACCTGACCTGTTCTCTGCCCACTCTACTCCGTGTTCTTTAGCCCTGTTGCTGTTGTTAATTACATTAGTCATTTAATCACAGGTGATTTTTTTGCAGTAGTGACTGAGGCAAAAAGAGCACTAGTTGCCTTGGGGTTTTTATGTGTCATAAACTATTAGCTTTCCTTCCTTCCCACATAGAAAAATGAGTCTGCTTTTGCTATTATTATTATTATTATTATTATGCTTAGAGAAAATGTTGATATTACCCCTATTGTCCCTGAATGTATCCCACTTTATAGACCTACTGGTCCTTTTTACTGTTAGATGCCCATGTTGTTTTTCTATGTTCATCCTTAACACTTTAATCTGGTTTTCACCTTTTGTACTATTCTTTCTCAAGTATACCACCATTGAAAAGTCATGGCTTAATTAAAATTATCTCTGATTATACTTACTATTTTTGTTTTTCATTAGAACAATTTGTACTTGCACTCTTACTATTGTTTATTTAATTGTTATCAGTTCTCCTAAACTTTTTGTCTCTTACCATTGCTATCCATAACATCAAATTTATTGATTCTGTGGGTTTATTAAAATCTGGGCTTTTTAAAACCATTTTTGTTAAATTTTTGTTGCTCTTCTTTCTTGTTGTTGTAAGCATCACTAATTAGAACATTTCACCCAAGTCGTCCTCCACCTCCTATATGTTTCACGCAGGTATCTGCAGAGTTCTTTGCTCTGGGTACACTGTTACTTCATTTAATAAATTGTCATCTTCTTGAACTTCATTGTGGACTGTATTGTTGACATGTTGAAGCATTTGGCATTGTCTGTGGGACATTAAGCTTCCCACAGATTATATCAGCAATGAAATCACAACCACTTTTCTATATGGTTAATATATTGCTATAAGTTGATGGATGCCTTTGATTTTTTTTGATATGTGGATATAGATAAAGCAATTAGTCCATATACTTTTTTACTTGTAGTAAAACAGCAGGGTACTTGTTTTATATGTGTATAGTTTGAGAAGTTAAGACATGAGATAGTAACACTGCTGGATATGAAGCTGCCTTCTGCTCAGTGCTTACTGCTAGTCTGGAAGGACTCCTGAGACAGAATGAGCAGAACTCTTTATTAGTTTCTTGTTTCAGTTTGGGTTTATTGCTTTATTTTCTTTTATTGTGTTCCAGATAAAGATGCACCATCAGAGGGGCCCTTGTGTGTAAATCCAACAGAATTTTTCTCTTTCTTTCAAGACTTGCAGTTCACAGAGTCTTGCACCCAGTAAATTCTTCACCGTTAATTTGTATATCCAAAAGCCATAATTTTTCTTCTCTTGTAGAATCAAGTGAACATGAAGAGAAGAGTACAGCTGTCTCAGGTGAGGCATCTTCTCCTCAACCTTGTCCTGCACCAGGATATACTCAGCCTGAAGAAGCAAAGGAGGATATGGATGTAGCAAAGCAGACCAAACCTGAAGAGAATGATGACTTGGGCCCACTGCCTGATAACTGGGAAATGGCTTATACAGAAAAGGGGGAAGTCTACTTTATTGAGTAAGTCTTATTTCTTCTCCTTCTAATAGCTGTAGTGTATTTAACTGGGGAGGAAAATTGTTTGTATGGTGAAGTGGAGCATTGCACTCCTTCTCATTAAAACAGCAGGAATGTTCTGGCTGTCAAGGCTCCTGGGGGCTGGTGACAATGCCTGCATTAGTGATTTACATTGAAACCTGCTGGTTTTTAAGATAGGTAACTGGTCTGCTTGCTTTGATGGCAGCAGTTGAAGTTGTTTCTTCTGTTGAAAGCAAGGCTTTTATCCTTTTCTGGTGCTTTGGGGAAAGTCACACAATTGCTGGGTTTGTCCTTCCATCTGTGGACAGAGGTGGAGATGGTGGAGCTTTTTGCCAATTAAAGGAAACAAAGATGGGTGGACTAAAAACTAGCTAGTGAACAGTAGAGGGAGACCATGCTATATGTAGAAATAGTAAATAAATGAGTGGACTATAAGGAGTATTATGTGTGAAAGCTTTTTCCTATTGGTAAATTATACATACCTGTTGCTAATTAGTCAACTCATTGAAGAAATGGATATGACAGTTCTTTATTCTCTAAGTGCTCTCATTAATCTATTAGAGAGTGTCCAAAGGAGGGAAGGGTGAAGGGTCTGGAGGAGAAGCTTTATGAGGAGTGGCTGAGGTCACTTAATCTGTTCAGCCTGGAGAAGACCGAGGGGAGACCTCACTGCAGTTACAACTTCCTCATGAGGGGAAGTGGAGGGGCAGGCACTGATCTCTTCACTCTCGTGGCCAGTGACAGGACTCCAGGAAATGGCATGAAACTGTGTCAGGGGAGGTTCAGGTTGGATATCAGGAAAAGGTTTTTCACCCAGAGGGTGGTTGGACACTGGAACAGGCTCCCCAGGGAAGTGGTCACAGCACAAAGCCTGACAGAGTTCGAGAAGCATTTGGACAACACTCTCAAGCACATGGTATGATTTTTAGGGTGTCCTGCAGAGGGCCAGGAGTTAGACTCAATGATCCTGTGGGGTCCCTTTCAACTCAACATATTCTATGATTCTATGAAGAATATATGTTACCAGAATAAAAATATAGCAATCTTACTTCATACAGTAGTGTGTTCCACAAAAGAAAAAAGAGAAAGGAAAAACTAACATCTTCATCAGCAGAACACTACTACAGAGGTAGCAGTAGCATTTATGTTTGCTTTAAGGTACTACTGAGCATAGCTGTTATTCTGATTATTAGTCGGTAAAAATAACATTTGATGGTGTCAATTCTGCTTTTAAGTCCTGTATTTAATGTAAAATGTTGTGACTATCACATGAAGTGTAAACAAATGATAAGGATAAAGTTTGTGCATGTGACTTTTGAATGAACACTGGCATGACCAACTATAGCTTCTGGCATATACAAGGCTGAAAATAGCAGTAACTATTAAAACATAAGTGTCGTTGTTGAAAAGGGCAAAAATATGCTTATTCTAGAAAAAGAGTAATTATAGTAACTTTACCCAAGCAAGCAGAGAAGAACTAGGATGACCCCAGGGCTAGCTCAAACCCTTGTTTCGTTCCTACCTCTCTCCCAAATTTAATTTTTCTGCACATATTGAGCACTCTGAAAGAAAGCAGACTGAATTATGTGGTACTTTTATTTTACTTGTAACAAAAACCTGTGATATGTTTGGGGCGTGGGGGAGGGGATGATGGGTAGATAACTCACACCAAACTGTGTAGAATAGTAAATACTGCAGTAGGCAATTTAATAGAAAATAAATGTATATGTTGTAACAAATACAGGGAATGCAAATAGCCCTGATGGTCTACAGAGCAGCCATTCCACTCCTCAAATTTCTTTGATGTTACAGTTTACTTCCTTTCCTGGAAATCCTCTGATTCTGACAATGCTCATCATTCACTTCCACTAAATGAATGTTATGTAAAGCAGAGAAATCAATCAGAGGTGCAGACTGGATAGAAAGGCTGTTGTAAGGGCTTCTTGCCTTTGGGATTATATTCTTGAACAATGTAGTTGCAAAAAAGTGCAATTACACATCTGTAAAAATACCAGATTATTTACTAGAATCCTAGCAAAGGAACAACTCTCTGATCCTTTGAGTTTTCACATTGCACAGTCTTCACGGGGTTAAGTAGGAATGTAATGCTGTGGGGATGCTGTTAAATTGCCTCTTTGTTTACAAGTCACTTTGGTTAATGGCATGAAGAGACTCCATTTGCTTTCACAAAAAAAGGGAAAGATAAAAAGACAACAAAAACCTATTTGTCTAACAACATCTCCCTGAACAGTAGTAAAGATTGTACTAGATTATTAAATAATAGATGAAAAACAAACATTTTAAAAGTGTACATCATCATGAGTAGGGAAAAGTCACACTAGGCAGCATCTTTTATTTCTTTATTTGAGGCTCATGTGAATTGTGCCTTTAAACAGTAAAGACTCCTAGCAGTAAACGATCTCAAGTTCCAGATTGTCACAAGTCTACCCAAAGATCTTAGATTTTGTGACAGCATTTTCATTCATTCACCTCAAACTAACCTCTAAAATTTGTATGGGATCTCATTTATCAAAACTGCCATCAAAAAAATATGGCAGATTTACAGTGAGAGAGGAAGTGACTTCATAAGAAGAAGGATAACTATCTGTAGACAGGATTATTTATTTCTTAATCATTAATGGTTCAGTTAGCATTTTGTAAAGCACACTGGAAGGAACTTCCTCTGCCCTAAGGACTACAAAAAAGAAATAAATATCATCTACCAGATTCACTGAACGATTCAGTGTGGTTGTATTTTAGAGCATGTCTTGGTCTGTTTCTTCCTTTCTTTTCCTGTCTGACATAGGTGCCTGACCTTATGTTTACCTATTTTAGCATTCACAGACAGAACAGGAAGAGCATCTCTTATTGCAAAATAATACTTACCACTGTTTTTCAGGAAGAGCTACTTAAGTACATTTCTTGGGCTGTTTCCAGCCTCCCTTACATATGAATCCCAATTTTCAAATACAGGCACACACTACACAAATAGAACTCCATCTCCTACATTCAGTTTCATTGAGAGCATATGCTAATGAGAACATGCAATAATTAACAGACTGTATATAAATTGGACTGCCATCAAAAAAACCTCCAGTTCTGCTCCTTCTTTCCTACTTTAAGTATGGCTAATGAGTGTGATGTATTTTGGCGTACTTAAATAAATTATAGCCATTGCTGATTTTTAGTTTTTCTCTCTCCTATGGTGAAGGAAAGGCTGTGATTCCCTATAACCTTCAGACTTCACCTTGCCAGCAACTCTCAAACCACATACTAGAGACACAAGTTTCATGTTGTCTTCACAAAGTCAGCAGATGCTGGCTGTGTTGGATCCCAGACAATCGATGTTGGCTGTGTTGGTCCAGTGCAGTGCTGAAGAGAATAAAAAAGGACCAAGATACTCATTTCCTCTTCCCTTATGTACAGTCAGCCTTAAATGTGACCCTCATGCAACTCTCCATTTCCATCCCATACATTACTACATTATAGACTGTCCTGTACAGTTGGCTAAACATCATAATACTTTTTTGTAAAAGGCAGAATTGGTTTTGTCTTTCTCTCTCCAGCCCTCTCTTCATCTACAGGCACTCTCTGGAAGGGGTGTGGGGCCAGTAGGACATGAAACCAGGATGAGCTGCTGTTTGTTAAGCTAAGCCTTGATGAATAGTCTCAAGGATGTTACATAGCCCATAATGAAAGCTGTTTGACTCTACACTGTTCAAAAGCATATATGGTTTCCTTTGCTTATACCATATTAATAATTGTTTTCTTAGTGGAGAAAACTCTAGAATAAAGTCAAACCTCTTTAGAACATCTTCAGGTCCAGAGAAGAGCAATGAGGCTGGTGAAGGAACTTGAACACAAGTTCTATGAGGAGAGGCTGAGGGAGCTGGGGTTGTTTAGTCTGGAGAAGAGGAGGCTCAGGGAGACCTCATCACTCTCTACAACTACCTGAGAGGAGATTGTAGCCAGGTGGGGGTTGGTCTCTTCTCCCAGGCAATCAGCAGCAGGACAAGAGGGCACAATCTTAAGCTCTGCCATGGGAGGTTTTGGTTGGATATTAGGAAGACATTTTTTACAGAGAGGGTAATCAGACATTGGAATGGGCTGCCCAGAGAGGTGGTGGGAGGTTTTTAAACCTCCATCCCTGGAGGTTTTTAAGATGAGACTGGATGTGGCACTGAGTGCCATGCTCTGGTAAACACGGCAGTGTTGGATCAAGGGTTGGACTTGATGATCTCGGAGGTCTTTTCCAACCTGGTTGATTCTATGATTCCGTGATTCTGTGATCTTTAAAGGATTGTATTCTTTGACTTGTGGTGATGATTTTTAGCAGAATGTAGCCACGTGAGTTTTAGCAAACCACTTTCCAGTACATCCAGTTCAGTCTCTTACTACTTCAGCACCTACTTCTCCAAACAGCATAGTCAGCATTGCCTTTTGGACCTGTTGCAGTATCTTTTCTAGTTGTTAAAGCTGCTTTTTGGTTGTTTTTCTTTTTTTATTTTATGAAAGAACCATAAAAGACTGAAAACCAGCTATAAAATAGGCCTTTGCCAGGGACTCTCCTCTTCACTATAAAAAACAACCATTAAGTTTTTGAATACAGCTGGTGCTATTTCAGGTGATATCTGAAAAGAAGTACAGCTACAAATTGAAAAAGTAAGATCCTGACCTAGTTTGTTTTTAAGAATATTGCTACTGACTTCAGTGGGATCAGTATTTCTTCATAGCAGTTTTTAAGGTGCGAAAGTGTTTTGACTTCAGGAACATTTATCCCAACATCTTGCTTCCCTGAAGAACCATGATATGTTTAGTTGTTCCTGGCTGCTCCTCAGTTCACCGTCAGAAAGCAGAATATATTAGTTAAGCCTCGATATACCATTAAATTCGACAACTGTGTTCTGTACTAGAAGATACTGCTAAAAGGTGGAAGTACACCACTCTGCCTGCTCAACAATGCAGGTATGATTACAGATGTC